AGAGCTAGCCAGCCCTCACGCGGGCGAGAAACCGCTCTCGGTTTGGTGGTTCTTTGGTGTTACCGGAGCCTCGCGGTTTCCGCGGGGCTTGCGTTTTCGTTCGTGAAATTGACGTCGCTGGGAAGCACGTCTGGCGCCCAACTTTGTCGCGGCTCTCGGTTCTCGCTCGACCGCGTGAGGTTCCCTTCCGTACGGGGGCCATCGCCGGCCCTCCGACCCGATTGATCCGCCGTTCCCCGGAGCGCGCTCCCGCGCGCGCTCCGCGCCTGATCGACGCCAAGGGGAAAGGCGTGACAATATATTATATATGTGAGCATACACGCGCTGTACACGAGGTGTTATTAATAAACAATTCTTTTAGTTAGCGTTCTTACAAATGTGTGTTTTCATTTAAACAAAGCCCTGCAAAATATCAACCTTTCAACAAATTTTATTAAAAAGTAAAACACAAATGGTACTACCGTTTCTTGTTATTTATACAAACTTACCTTTTTAAATTTGGGCCGGTTTTACCAACGCCAATTACTTAATTGGCCGTGGAACTGACTAATTGTGTTTCATATTTAGTAGAATTGACCACTTATAATTGACAGTTAATCACCGATTCGGCTTAATCGAGTTGGTGAAATCGGCCCTTTCTATATAATACTAACAAGTATCCAACCCAATTCATTTATTTAATAGATGTCCAATTACTGTTATTATTGATTACACTTTTCGGCAAAAAAAGACCAAACTAGTCATTTACTATTGAATGTTGAATACGAATTTTAGCTTCTAAATTGTTCCATTATGTCACAATTTTGAGAAATTTGCATTTAAAGTTACAAAAAAGAACTACTTTTACATATTTTTATATGTGACAGAGGATTGCAATCAAAATTAAGTTTATTGATAGGACTTTCTATGTTTGAAAGGAATTTTTAGTGTCAGCTATGATTAATAAGATATTCATGGTTAAATGTGAGGTTTTTAGCATCTTGTTTTTAAGATTCAACTGAAAGATATATGAAATGTTATAAAAAGAAGATTGTTGTTGTGATAAGTGGTAAATATTTTATAATTTGTAATGTTCTACTATATAATTTTTCGTTTGCAAAGTCTGAAAATTAAATGGATAAGACAAACTGATAGCGTAGCAAAATTAAACATTTATTTTGATAACAAATTAGGAAAACTGAATGTAATATTTATTTGATCTGCCACTACCGCCTCTGCCACGACCGCTTCTGCTACGATCGCCTCTACCACGACAGCCTCTTCCACCACCGCCTCTTCCATCACCGCCTCTCCCACCGTGGTGTCCACGGCTATGTTTACTTTTTTTCCAGCGTCTGGCTGTAATTAATTTAAAAAATGATTAAAATTACATAACGATCTTATAGATGTTTTTATTTACATTTTTCATATTGGGCGGTTGATGCTGCAGGCACTGGCTGCACCTGCTGCACCGGCCCGGACAATGCCGGTGCTGCCATTTTAGGTTATTTCTGTCCGGGACCTCCGGGATCTCTGGGACCCGGTACACTGGATAGTGACCCTGAGGACCGAGACATTGATTCTTTCAATTTTTGTATCTCGGCCCTCAGGGCCGCTATCTCCAAGTCCTTAGCATCGTCCATATTCATGGATCTGAAAGAGTATAGAAAAAAATATATACAAAATAACTAATGTATTAATTAAAATAAATATATAAAATTTGGTTATTAGCTTTACTTACATATCTTCACCTACGTCGGACATTTTTGTTTTCACGGGTCATGAAACACGATGATAGTTTCGCGTCTTTTGAATATGATTATCAACGTGATATTAGGGCTGTTCCAAAATCTTCTGTCAGTAATGAAAATCTATAGTGCATGTGATGTAAACTGTAGATTTTCAGCACTGGCAGTAAATTTTGGAACACAGTCTAGGTCTGTTCTATATTACTGCACTCTTTGAACTGGTGCACACGGTGCACTAATGGTCGTAGCACAGACTCTTGCGTAACGTATAATGCATAGTGCATAAAGGAATCAACCAATTGAAATTCTTCTTTTCATGGAATGAGAGGAAGGATATCTATCCTTCTTCTGATTAGTTAATTCGCTTATGTATTATGCGTTATGCATTATGCAAAAGTATGTGCTGCGGCCTTAAAGCCCAAGACACAATTGCGACGCATCTGAAATTGTTATTAAGAAAAAATTAAGAAACGTCATCATCGACGTCGTCGTCGCCGTTACAGAGTGGTGGGGATTAATGTCCTTTTGGAATTTTTGGCGCAAGAAGCAAATGTGGCGCTAACAATACATGGTCACATCACATATGATCAGCGCCAGAGAGAATCAAGAGAAAGTGGAGCGGTGGAGCGGATTCAGCGGAAGCCGCCATTTAACCTCATTTATCCTCCATTCGTTAGAGTGAGTAAGACATATGGTAGAAGCGTGATGGAACATACGGTGCTGCACACACTAGTATTGTACTGCACTAGTTTTGTGTTACATATACGTACATGCCACACATGCATATTTGCGGAAGTAAGAGGAAAAATAGCGGAACCAATCAGAAAAGAGCAAGACTCTTGCATAACGTAACGTATAAAACATGAAGTATAAGAAAATCAACCAATCAGAGTTTATTTTATAGAAAGGAAGGACATAAAGAACTTTGTTACGTCGTACCGCGCACCTTGCTGAATTGCAATGGCACGGCCTTGCAACACTGCCCAAGCTTTCCGCGGTAGATTGCTTCGAGGGGGCTTGGTCGAGAAAATTGATATTCTCCCTGCTTTAAAATACTTTATTGACTGAAAAAACTCAGTAAGGAGCGAGCGTGTGCACAAACAGATTCGCGGGGAAATAGCAATTGGCCCGGCGATACAACAATAAGACGAGACACGCACACGCGACAACGACGATGGACGGCCATTAAGAGAAGGAAGAAAAAGATTGTAGATAGTGCGGTCGATAATCCGCGGCGCCCGTATCGCCAAACGAGTCGATAATCGAAATTCATCGATTCCCTATGAGGCGATATAACTAAACTAAATAATTGCATGAATGCCGAACACGCCGCCCCCCTTGAAAGGACTAGCTTTCAAAATAACGTACAAAATATGAATTCGTTGGCGTGACATAGTCTGGAATTGCTCAAAGGCAACCCGATCGCGATCATATATTAAAACAACGGGCGTAAATCAATATTTAAATAAACGAACTGAAACGGACAAACTAATAAGTCATTCTTAAACCAATAGTGCGCAAGGCTTAACAAACAATAGTACATGATGAACATACTTAAACTAAACAATCAGATAAGAAAATTGACTAGCACGCAATAGGTAGTATCGCTAGCTTGGAGAGTGGCCGCACGTAGAGACCCTTGGCAGTCTTAATCGTAGCGGTACGTGTGATCCCGTCAGGGCCGGGATGTACCTCCTGCACTCGCCCCATCGCCCATTGCAGCGGGGCCACACCTTGTTGCCTCATGAGAACGGGTTGGCCAACTGACAACTGATTCCCTTTGTTGACCATCCATTTGGTTCGTGCTTGAAGAGTGTGGAGGTATTCATTACTCCACCTGCTCCAAAAGTGCTGCCGGATTTGCTCCACTCGTTGGCATCTTAACAACCTATTTTCGCTAACGTTACTCAAGTCCGAGCAAGGAAGACCATTCAACGCCGTGCCAACCAAAAAATGTCCCGGGCTTAAATACGCTAAGTCGTTAGGATCGGTGCTTAAAGGCGCGAGGGGGCGCGAATTAAGTATCGCTTCTATCTCGCAAAGAGTTGTCTGCATTTCTTCAAAGGTCAGATGCGCCTTGCCCACAATCCGGGCTATATGATACTTTGCAGATTTCACGGCCGCTTCCCACAAGCCCCCGAAATGGGGGGCATTAGGCGGGATGAAACTCCATGAAATCCCCGAATCGCGTAAAAAATATTTGATTTCGGATTGAACTTGTGGATCATTATAGACGTCGTACAATTCTTGTATTTGTCTTTGTGCGCCCACGAAAGTGGTCCCGTTGTCTGAGTACATATGCAAGGGTTTGCCCCTGCGTGAAATGAATCGCTTGAAAGCGGCAATAAACGCCTCAGACGTAAGGTTACTTACTAGCTCTAGGTGGACCGCCTTCGTGGCGAAGCATACAAAGATTGAGAGATACGACTTGTGATTTCGTGAGTTACGACGCCTTCCCTCACGCAACAGGAGAGGTCCGGCATAATCCACACCACAGTGAGAGAATGGTCTGGAAACATTAACCCGGCTTGCCGGCAAGAAGCCCATGACCGCTTCCGAACACTTAGGTTTAGCCTTGAAACAAACTGTACATTTTTGTATTATTCCCCGCGTGGTGGATCGCAAGGACAACGGCCAAAACCGCTGTCGGACGAAGGCCATCGTGGCTTGCAAACCGGCGTGCAAGTTTCGTAGGTGCTCGCGTTCAATGACTCGCTGGGTTAATATATGCTTGCGCGGTAGTAGCGCTGGGTGGCATGCATCGAATGAAAGATTCGAGTTTTTTAGTCTCCCGCCGACCCGAATCAGGCCATCCCTGTCTAAGAAGGGGGATAATGATAGGATACTACTCGAAGTATTTATAACGCCGTTCTTATCTAACGCTTGATACTCACTATGGAATGATCGTCGTTGTACCGCCTTGCAAATACAAATTAGAGCGGCAGAAATTTCAACGGGAGACACGAAGTCAGATACCGCGTGTGCACGGTGTGCCTTTGACAATCGCAGACAATACGCTATGATACGGCATATTTTATCCAAATTGGAATACTTATTTAGTAGACCACTGACAACGCATGGATAGGAGATGGAAGCGGTCACATGGAGTTTCCTTTGCTCGGGAAGATCGTTTTCCAAACGCACGAATACACTGGGTGGCCAGTGTTGCTCATCCCGTTTTAAAAAATTAGGTCCACTCCACCAACTCTCAGCATTGATTAGCTCGCCGGGAGCTAGTCTCCGCGATAATATGTCGGCAGGGTTGTGGGCCGATGTGATATGCCGCCAATGTCCGATCTCCGTAAGGCGTTGAATCTCACCCACCCGATTTGCCACGAAAGTTGACCACCGCCGAGATGGGGAGGTGATCCAATTCAGTGCTATTGTCGAATCTGACCAAAGATAGATCGGGCATTGGGAACATTCTAGTGAATTTTTAACCTTATCGATTAAACGCGCCAACAATAAAGCAGCTGATAATTCCAATCGTGGCAAGGAGACAGCCCTAAGAGGTGCGACGCGAGATTTCGAACATAACAATGTGGAGCGATATTCATTGTGCTCGAGCTCGGTGCGAAGGTATATGCAGGCTCCGAATGCGCGCTCGCTGGCGTCACAAAATCCATGTATTTCCAAGCTCAGCTGATTGAATTCTGACTTGACGCATCGGGGAATTCTTAATTGATTCAATGTTTCCATTTGTGCCCTGAACGCAATCCAACGAGTGTGAATATCCTGAGGAACGGACTCGTCCCATTGGATGGACAATTGCCACAGATCTTGCAAAATGAGCCTTGCAACAACGATGATTGGCCCCAGAAGGCCGAGAGGATCGAACCATTTAGCGACTTGAGAGAGAATGGTCCGCTTTGATACTATGTTTGTGTCCGAATGGAAGAGAATTGGAATGTGTCGTAGCAATGATTCCACTGCATACCGAGAATGTATGAGTCCGTGGGTTTGTCCTTAATCTCGACTGGGTCACAGTCACGATTATCTGCTTCTAATAGCTCAGGGGTGTTCGAGGCCCATTTGCTTAATTCGAACGCTCCTAGTTTCAACAGCTGATTGGTCTCGTCACGGATTAACTTCAACTCGTCAATGGCATCCGCCCCAGCGAGCATTTCATCGACATAAAAATTGCGAAGGACGCATGCTGAACCGCGCGGAAATTGAAACGCGTGTTGCTCAGCCAAGTGCTTTAGACATCTGGTAGCCAGAAATGACGCCGAAGCCGTTCCATAAGTGACGGTGGTGAGTTCGTATGTATCGACATTCATAGACGGATCGTCGCGCCAAAGAATTCTCTGTAACCGCGTCTGAGAGGGATGCATTGAAATTTGCCGGTACATTTTTATAATGTCGGCAGTGATAACATATAAAAAATACCGAAACCGCAACAAAATCGAAATTAAGTCCTGTTGGACATTTGGGCCCACTAGAAGAACATCATTCAACGACACGCCCGTGGTGCTGCGACACGAGGCATCAAAGACGACTCGGATTTTTGATGTCTGGCCAACGATTTTAAACACACAGTGATGAGGGAGATAGAATGATGCTGGCTCCTCTGTGATAGGGGGTTCCAACCGTCGCATGTGCCCTAGGGATATGTACTCCTTGACAAATTCTGCATATTGAATTTTGAGTGCTGGGTCACGCTTGAATCGCCTCTCGATTCTCTTCAAGCGCTTCAGGGCCGCGTCACGCGAATCGCCGATCTTACCTAGTGCATGCTCTTTGATAGGGAGCTTGACCGTATATCTGCCCTGAGAATTCTGAGATACGTTGTCCATAAAATGACGTTCGCAGATGCCTTCCTCCATTGTGTAACGATCTGAACCTGAGGATATGTTTTCCATCTGCCATGCGCGGCTAACATGCTCGTGTAATTCAGCATTGCTTATGGATGCATGAAAGGAATGGACCTTTGAAATGGCCGCGGTAACAGCGCCCAAGCGACCCGCCAGGATCCAACCTAATCGCGTTTTCTGAAGAGTTGGATGGTCGTCCGACGACTTGACCTGACCAACGCAAATTAAACTCCAAAACAGTTCAACTCCGATTAAAAGATCAATATCCGACGATATGTTGAATCGCGGATCGGCTAAGCGAATGTTTCGCGGAAATTTAAAAATGTCACGTGCTGTCGAAACCGCGGGAATTTTGTCAGTGACTTGATCAACTATAATGCATTCTATGACCGCGGTGTACGAACTGACTCGCGATTGTAATTTGATTTGCGTAACGTGATGAGACGTAGCTACCGTACCGTTGACGCCAGAAATGGAGACATTCAGCGGGCGCGTTTTTAAACCGAGATCTTGCACCAATTTTCTGGATATGAAATTGGCTTGGGATCCGCAGTCTAACAATGCCCGGCAAGCCCTATCTGAGCCCTCGTTATCGCAAACGTACACCACTGCTGTTGATAGCATAACTTGCTCATTGCTAACGGAACCTGAGGTGTGCGTAGCCAGTATTGAAGAAGGCGCGTCCGCCTTAGCTGTAGCCTCCTTGTCGGTAGATGCGTCCGCGGCAGCAGGCATGTGGAGAAGTGTGTTATGCTTCGCATGACAAACCTTGCATTGACCGGAAGTACATTTGTTCGAAGCGTGAGAAGATGAACGCAAGCAATTTGCACAGAGCTTGCGACTGCGAATTTCCACGGCCCTCTGCGAGACCGGAAGCGCCACGAATTTCTTACAATAATAAATAGCATGATCGCCTTGGCAAAAGTGGCACCTGGGTTTGACGGTGGCTGCGCATGAAGATGCCCGCTTGGCTGATGGCTGCGATTTCGACTCAGCCTTTCTCGCGAGAGCGGTGCTGGCCCTTGCGGTGGCCTCGAGCACCTGAGATCGATGAGCAATGAAGTCTACCAGCTGCTTCAAGGTTGGCAGTTCGTTGCCTGTTAGAGAATTTTCCCATTCGCGAATCGTGAGCGAATCCAATTTAGAGGTTAGAATTGAAATGAGAATATCGTCCCAATGCGCGATGGGACGTTTTAAAGCCTGAAGGGCGTGCAAGTGTTTTGAGGTACCGTCAGATATTTTTCTAAGATCGACCGAATTCTCCTTGGACATCAACGGCAGATCCAATATGGCCTTGACGTGGCTTTGAATGATTACGCGCTTGTTGTCATAACGGTCCTTGAGAATTGACCACGCGACATCATAATTAGCGTCTGAAAGTTCTAATGAACTGATTACGGCACTCGCATCGCCGGTGAGGGACGCCCGTAAATATTGAAATCGCTGAGTATCGGAAAGAGAGGTGTTGGAGTGGATCGCGGCATTGAATGTATCGTAAAACGGCAACCATTCATCATATTTACCCGTGAATGTTGGTAAATTTAACTTAGGAAGTCGGATGTGCGTTCCACGATCTGAATCCCGAGCATTTGAAGAGGAAATAGATGATGCGGACGCTCGCGATGTCGGCGAGGGTGCAACCAGCTCGCGGATCCTGGAAGATAACGCATAAAATGCTTCCTCAAAACCGCCTCGATCTGCACCCTCGGCCTCGTCAAATGATTCTAATCGCGATTGCACGTCATAGTATTGCGACCAATAATATTCGAGCTTTATCTTACGCTCTTCTAGTTGAATGATTACTGACGATGTAATGGCGGTGATAGTGTCTACATACGTTCTAATACGCGTACATGATGCCTTTATGGTCGTGCGCTGGCGCTTGAGAGACGCGGCCTCTGATTGGTCGACCATCTTGTTCGAATCATGAACGCACGTAACGCACGCGGTGTGACGGACCGGGTTGGCAACGGCAGAAATGGCCTCCCTTACCTCGTCACGTCCGCGATGAAATAATGTGTGATGCCGATGAAACCCTGCGGTCACGAGCAGCGTTGTGGAGACGATCTTCCGGTGGCCGCGGGGGCGTTGAATGATGCCTCTGGCTCTAGTAAGATTCCACTCGCTGTCGACGCTGCCTCACGTTCCGCCTCTGTGTGTTGCGATGAGCCAGGCCGCGTTCGGAATGCTTAGACGCAAGTCCCGAGGCTGCCCTGATTGCGTTGCGCGCCGCCGCTGCTGCGACGTCAGGTTCGACTCGATGAAATGGCCAGGATGTGATGCAATGAGCCGGGCCGCGTCCTGGATACTCAGACACGAGCCTTGCGGCCGCTTCACTCGTAATGCGTTTCGCCAATGCTGCCTCACTCGCTTCACCGAGGCCAGATATTTGATAATATCCGGCTCGAAGGACCAAAACTTTGTTACGTCGTACCGCGCACCTTGCTGAATTGCAATGGCACGGCCTTGCAACACTGCCCAAGCGTTCCGCGGTAGATTGCTTCGAGGGGGCTTCGGGGGGTCGAGAAAATTGATGTTCTCCCTGCTTTAAAATACTTTATTGACTGAAAAAACTCAGTAAGGAGCGAGCGTGTGCACAAACAGATTCGCGGGGAAATAGCAATTGGCCCGGCGATACAACAATAAGACGAGACACGCACACGCGACAACGACGATGGACGGCCATTAAGAGGAGAAGGAAGAAAAAGATTGTAGATAGTGCGGTCGATAATCCGCGGCGCCCGTATCGCCAAACGAGTCGATAATCGAAATTCATCGATTCCCTATGAGGCGATATAACTAAACTAAATAATTGCATGAATGCCGAACAGACTTTGATTGGCTCATTTTCTTATGCATAATGCATAACACATAAGACATAAAAAATCCAATCAATCAGAGTTCTTTATTTAATGGAATGGAAGGATTTTGATTGGTCCATTTTCTTATGCATTACGTGTTATGCGTTATGCAAGTGCTTCCCGTTTAACACTATCCGCTCCACTTTCCCTTGATTCTCTCTGGTCAGCGAGCGTTGCAAGCGCTGCGACGGTTCTGCACATTTTACACATTCTACATTTTGCAGAGAGATTTTACACATTCTACACATTACGAGATGTGTTCGCGTTACATGAAATCCCCAAATATTTTTGCACTTAAAATGAGATAAATACATATTTTGCTTTAAAAAGAGAGAAAGCGAAGATGTTGAGTGCCAAAAGTGCAAGCAACGCGAACAGACCTACGGTCACACAATCGCGGAGGAGTTGAATAAGTGCGATATTGGGTTCCGGTTACCTCAAAAAATATTGATAAAAATACTTTTAATCGATATATTTTCACGTAATTAAATCGAGATTGTCGTTGAGGAACTGTGACCACATTTGTATTCAGGTTAAGAAGTTGGTCACAGCAACGAAATATTGCGATGTAAGCAGACGCAGTAAAATTCAATTCTCTGCTTTAGATCTACCGGAATAGCGGCTTGCATTGGTTGAGTTCAGCAGACTCAGCAATTTTGCAACTGTTTTATTCGTCGCGCTGATTGGTTTATACTTTTAGTTTTAAAGGAATAGTCCAATCTCAGCGAAGAATCATAAAACGGTTGCAAAACTGTTGAGTCTGCTGAACGCAGCCATTGATTCCGCACCCGCAAGTTCCGCTCAATGGGACATAGGAAAATGAATTCCTGCGGATCGGAAATCATGTATACATACAGGGACAATGCTGACTGTTTTGTGTATTCATTTGGAGATTTAATTAATTTCCTTTAGGATTATGTTCAGATTTCCGCCCGAGTGCTACCCTAGTATTAATCTATCTTGTTATTTACCGAAAATGTTAAACATATGAAATGTTAAAGGTATGACATATCAGAAATCATATACTCCAATGTATCCGATTTTTGATAGGTTAAATTGTTTATCCCAAAAAAATCATAAAAATGAAAAGTCAGGCCATGTTCAAAAAAAGATCCTCAAAAATTTAAACCTTTAAAAATTCAAATGATTATCTAAAATAATATATTACCATGAAAAGTAACTGATATATTATTAATAAACGTGCCAGTTCAAAGTGAACATACATAAAGTGTATATTATCTAAATTTAATAATATATTACCATGAAAAGTAACTTGTATGTTATTCAAGGTGCAAATTCAAAACAAACATACATATATAGTAAGTAAAATAGATTACAATTTGATTCTAGAAAATAAGTCGATATGTATGTTATTATTCTTAGTGAACAAAAAATAAAAGTCGTTTATTGAGATTTGATTTGAAATTTATACTAGCCCGTACGATGAAAAATAATTGCTTGTAATTCCAGAGTATCAATTTGTTAATGACTCGGAAAAAGAACATGGCGGCCTGCTTTCGAGGGATGAAAATAAATAATTGAAATAAAAGAATTATGAAAATTGTTTAGATTAAAAGCCTCCCATCTTCCTTTAGTAAAACTTCGAATTTTTGTATCAACTTCGGATTTTGAGTTTGTTATGCCGTATTTTCAGTGAGTAATTTATTGATAAAAAAAACGTTGCCTTATTACCTGAAACGAGTAAATACTAATTAAACCCAAAATTCATAAATAAGAAGTTCTCAGGTCAAGTACAAAGAAGCTGTACATTTAAAAAGTTATTGATTATTTAACGTAATATATATTCATTTCGTTATAGAGCTTTTGAAAATACGATTCTAATGTAATACTTTTCGTACTTCAAGTGTTGTAATAATTACTCTGTAAAAGCTTCGACATTATTTCTAAGTGGACACCGAGAAACTCATCAAAGTTTTTTGAGAGCAGGCCGCCATGTTCTTTTTCCGAGTCATTAACAAATTGATACTCTGGAATTACAAGCAATTATTTTTCATCGTACGGGCTAGTATAAATTTCAAATCAAATCTCAATAAACGACTTTTATTTTTTGTTCACTAAGAATAATAACATACATATCGACTTATTTTCTAGAATCAAATTGTAATCTATTTTACTTACTATATATGTATGTTTGTTTTGAATTTGCACCTTGAATAACATACAAGTTACTTTTCATGGTAATATATTATTAAATTTAGATAATATACACTTTATGTATGTTCACTTTGAACTGGCACGTTTATTAATAATATATCAGTTACTTTTCATGGTAATATATTATTTTAGATAATCATTTGAATTTTTAAAGGTTTAAATTTTTGAGGATCTTTTTTTGAACATGGCCTGACTTTTCATTTTTATGATTTTTTTGGGATATCACCTACTTTTCAGAGTACAGATATACGGAGTAGCTTTCTAGTAATGCAAGTATCACAAATGTATATATATATATATGCATTATATATATTTTCGATTTTTATCACGTAACTTTCTATAAGCTACAATTTATGCAATACAGTTAGAAAAAATTGAAATATATGGTATACACATATATAAATATACAATAAATATATGTATATAAATATATATTCTGTACATATACATTTTATTTAATAGTATATATGTAACTGTTTATATAATTATAATAAATATTTATACCATACGTTACATATTTATTTCAATTGCAACAGAATGAATTTATAATATTCTATGAATATATACATATATATATACTGAAAATAAAGAATGGGCCCCTACATCGCCCATTCTCGTGAGAACATAATCATATTTTCTTCGTCTCTCCGATTTTAACACGATCTTTGACATAGAGATTTTTTTCTTGATGATACTCTTTGAAATATCATAAAGTTATTCGATAATAAATTTTTATTATTCATAGCAATATATCGAAAGAATTACCTCTCAAATTGACTTTTCCAAGCTTAGCACAAAATTAGTATAGTCAGTTATCGTTGCTATAAAGTCATTAGCAAGTTGTTTTTATAAATGATAAAATTTACGGCGTTAGTTTACCTCCCATCCCTGCATTTTTTATACAAATATATTTGGATAAAACGCTGCCCATTAAGAAGATATTAAAATAAAAATGAACAGTTCACCTCCGATGACCCTGATCCTCCCACACATTACGAAGGTCATCATACCGAACAACCTTCGAAAGATTGTAGCAGCCACCCATCACGCGTTACAAAGCTATGCAAAAAAATTAAAATGGCCCTGACTCATATTGTCAAGGTCGCGACCCTGAGTGACCATTGGATACTTTCAGCAGGCGACCGCTGCTCATTAGGAAGATATTAAAATAAAAATGAACAGTTCACCTCCGATGACCCTGACCCTCCCACACATTACGAAGGTCATCTCACCGAACAGCCTTCGGAAGGTTGTAGCAGTCACCCATCACGCGTTGCAAAGTTATCCAAAAAAATTAAAATGACCCTGACTCATATTGTCAAGGTCACGACCCTGAACGACCATCGGACACTTTCAGTAGGCGATCGCTGCCCATTAAGAAGATATTAAAGTAAAAATGGACAGTTCACCACCTGTGACATTGATCCTCCCACACATTAGGAATGGTCATTACACCGAACAACCTTCGAAAGAAAGTAGCAATCACCCATCACGCGTTACAAAGCTATGCAAAAAAATAAAAATGGCCTTGACTCATATTGTCAAGGTCACGACCCTGAGTGACCATCGAACACTTTCAGCAGGCGACCGCTACTCATTAAGAAGATATTAAAATAAAAATGAACATTTCACCTCCGACGACCCTGACCCTCCCACACATTACGAAGGTCATCACACCGAACATCCTTCGGAAGGTTGTACCATTCATCCATCACACGTTACAAAGCTATCCCAAAAAATTAAAATGACTCCGACTCACATTGTCAAGGTCAGGACCCTTAGTGACCATCGGACACTATCAGCAGGCGAGGATGAGAGAGGACGGAAGGGGGTGAGAGAAGACGAAAGAGAGTGAGATAGGACGAAAAAGAGAAAGGT